AGTCTTTTGTTGAGGGACACCAGCTTTAAAGTATAAATGTTCCCTTCAGAGCTTTGCACAAGTTCATAAATTTCAGTCACCTAAAAGAGAGGGGTAGGGTGAAGGATAAGATCTCCTTTGCAGCATCTTCTTGCAAAGAAAAAATACCTCACCTGTACAATGAGCTCCTATCTGCCCTGGAAAATAATGCTTTTATTTTAATAGAGTTTGTTTGGCGGCTTATGTTCATGCCGAAAGGACTGATTATCTGAAAATCTAAACTTAGTAGAAATGTAATAGTTGCATCTTTTACGCTTGCTGGGGAAAGGTTTTTACTTCACTGGATTTTTGCACGTGCTGGTCTACGGTGTTAGTGGTATAAGAATGATGTTGTAGCCATGATGGTCCAAGAAATCATGCAAGAGGCAAGGATTTCTTACAGTGATATCTTTTATTGGATAGATAAGCTTTTTGAGAGCTTTTCTAACTTCATCCCAACTACATAGTCAGTGCAGTAAAAGATAATCACTGTAAGAAATCTGTGCCTCTCCCAGATCTTGTGTGTGTCATTCTTTCCATTTCTTCCCAAACTTTTAAAAATGTAATACAGGCCAGTATGTTATTTGATAGTAGGGCTCACTTTTAGTGGCTACCGGGCAGACTTTAAAACAAAGGAGGAATCTTTTGCTGAACTTGCAGTCTTGACCTGTAACATTAACTTTGCTGGGGGCATTTGAGTTCCAGGCATGTGTTGACAAGTACAGCTCTTTAGATGTATTTTCTGTGTACATCCTGTTTATTTAGCAGAATACAAGTTCCCCAGCTTAATTTTGAACCAGGTCATTTTGTCTTGTAAGAACTCATGGGTAGCAATATCCTGTTTAAAGTATTCAACTATACCCCTGCAGGACATATTTCCTTCTCGTCTGAGGGTGCTTCCTTTTTTTGTGCTTTTGAGGAAACTGTGTGATTACAGTAAGGTGTGAGAATGACAGCATTTTCCTTCCCACTGAAGGCTGTCCTGTTTTCTGTTCTGAAGTAGCTTCACTTCAGTACAAAATCATAGAAATATAGTGCAGCTCAGAATAATTTCTATGGCTTAAAATTGTTGTTCATACCTGGAAGCCCTACGTTGGGGAGCTTGGTGTGTGTCAGACACCATTGTCAAGTTGGCAGTGTTATTTCTTTTTATTTAAAAGCTTTAGTATTGTGACTTAGTAGCAGATACATTATATTTATTTGCACTTGTGAAGAAATATAAGTAGATATCGACTGAACACACTCACTGTTACTCTAGGCGGTTGCTCACCTGGGTTGTTCTGCAGTTAGCACTCTGAACAGAAGATGCTCTGAACCAAGCAGATAGACCTTGACTAGAAAACACATTTCCCTCTTCATTGCTATTGAATCTCTTCAGTTTTAGGGAAGGAGACAGTTCTGTGTTCATCTTGTTATGCTTATTTGTATTCCTTCTATTATTTGCTGACCTGAAGCCAGAAATCTCCGATGCTGATAACCAATATGGAGTACAAGGACTGCAGTATCGTTGAGCGAGATGTTGCGATTCTAGGATATGTACTTAGTACATCTGAGTTCAGTTCCAGGCTTTGGAGGGGTTGGGGCCTTACGGCCCTGACTGCGTAGAGGCTGTCTGTGTTTGCTCCGACCTCAAACTTCCACATTCTGGTTAGCTGGCTGCTATTTCCTACTTTTTGCCTGGGCGTTTCCATTGGGGGGTATTGGAAGCTCAGTGCTGAGCCTAATGGCATGGCAGCTCCTGGACTTGCCAGGGGATGAAGGAAGTATATTCAGCGTAAAGGGAATTTTCAGAGATTTTGGCTGCCAAACTCCTAGCAAGCCTCTACTATGTGCAGATGGAGCTGTCTGGAATTTTATTGCATGGCCAGATTTGGACAGATTTTCATGGGAGTGACACTAAGG